ACGTAACTATTGCTTTAATATGCCCCCTGAATATGTATGCATTATGGACCCGAGTCCATATTACATATATATTGAGGGGCCATATTACATGTTTGCACTTTATTATTTTCAGATGCCTCGTACTAATCTTTCTCCTAAATCTGAGAAAAAAAAGAGGAAATTGTGGAGTGCTAACGACATGAAAAAGCCAGTAGAGGCTGTTCGTAATAAGCATATGGGTTTTAAGAAAGCAGTCAAAACGTTTGCTGTACCAAGAACTATGTTACGAAGGCTAGTTCATGATCCTGAGTTATCATCAGATCTGTTAGTACAAAAACCGTTAGGTAGAAAAACTATTTTACCTTTAACTCTGGAGAAACAATTAGTCGATTATCTTTTGCAAATGGAGCGCACCTTTTATGGACTTACTCGCTTGGATGTTAGGCGAATGACTTATCAATTAGCAGTCAGAAATAACATCCAGAATCCGTTTAAAAATAAAGAGCAAATAGAGCATGGCTCGACCATTTCTTAAATAGACATAAAAAGCAATTATCTCTCAGAAAACCAATGGAAACATCTTACGCTCGAGTGCAAGGATTCAATCGCCCAGCAGTTAAGGAGTTTTTTGATCTGTTAGAGGTTGAATATGCAAGAAAAAATTATTCTCCCGACCGTGTCTACAACGTAGATGAAACTGGACTTACAATCGTGCAATCAAAAGTACCGCAAGTAATAGACGAAAAGGTAAAAGGCAAATAGGGGCGTTAACTGCAGCAGAACGCGGGTCTTTAGTGACGTTGGTGTGCGCAATGAGCGCAGGAGGAACTTTCATCGCACCAATGTTAATTTTTCCAAGAAAAATTTTACAGATGTATTAATGAAAGGGGCTCCGCCAGGAGCAATCGGAAAGTACACCCTTCTGGTTGGATACAAACCAATTTATTTTCTGAATGGTTCAAGCATTTTTTGTATGAAAGACCAATCCAACAGAGGATTCTCCTGTCCTACTATTGCTCGATGGACATTACAGCCACACTCGTAATGTTAATATTCTAGAAGTTGCTCGTGAAAAGCATGTCACCATTATCAGCTTGCCTCCTCATATTACGCACAAGCTGCAACCGCTTGATAAAACATTTATAGGTGCATTTAAATCTCATTATAGTGAGGAAATAAGAAAATTTCTGTTACATTCTGACAGAATGCTTAAGCCTCATGATATTGCTAAGTTATTGGGTAAGCTTACTTAAAATGTGCAACAGCGAGATTGCAGTAAATAGTTTTAGAACGACTGGAATATATCCTTCAATCCTCAAATTTTTAGGATCTGATTTTCAGCAGAGTCACAATTGCTTCAAATAGAAGAGAAAATATATTATCAAGTACAACTTCTTCGATGATAAACCCACCTAAGCTGTCTGTCGAAACTACTACATTAACTGTAGAAACGTCTCTAACCCACTTCATGCACTGTTTCTGAATCCTCAATTTAACTGAAGTCATGTGCTTCAAGCACGTAAAGATCAGATGCAGTATCTCTTCAATCCAAATCATCTAACGAGCATGGAAGACTGCTAACTATAAAGCCTTCTGTCTTCTATTCAAAACCAGGAACATCATCAGCTGTAAACCTTCGCTTATACTACCCCATTAAATTTCACCAATACCCAAGCCTAAAATAAAAACCTCAAATCGAGGAAGAAAATCAACAAAAGCCACTGTAATTACATCATCGCCTTATAAATTTGAATTAGAACAATCTCTTAAGAAAACTGAAGACCGTAAACAGAGTTGTGGACGCGGAAGGGGACGAGGACGAGGTCAAATTTGCAAAAAAGGCCAAGAGAAAGTTCGGAAATTACCGTCGAAGATTCTGACACCGAAGAAAGTGATCTTTCAATATTGAAGAGGATACAGATTTCAAACTTTAAATTTTCAGCTTCCTTGAATTTTAAATTTCTATAATTTATTCAAATTATTGTTCTAAGTTTACAAAGGTTTTAGTAAGCGCATATGGCAACACTTTTTCTTTTTTTTAAATCCTTTTTGAAATGTTTCCAACAACTCCATTATTTTTCCTATAGGTATCAATATATTTTTCATAATATTTATTCCATAATTTTATTTTTATGAACCACTCATCTGTACGCTTGATAAGACCTCCATAAGAGAGTTGGTGCACCCATGATGGTAAACTATAACTATGTTCACTAACTTTGTATGTGAAATTACCTAAATCAGGTAAACTATCTTTAAATTTTTTTGCTAAATATCCAGCGATGTATTCTAAGGCATCTTCTGTAGTTTCCTGCAAATCACTGACAACACAATATGAGGTGGCAGACTGATTAGAAGATGATTCTTGGGAAGAGAAAGAACTACTATTGTTAGATTCATCAGGTTCTTCTATTTTTTCTTGAGGAATTTTAAGATTGGCTTTTTGGAATACTTTTGAACTAATATATTGATCCACACTCAGAAAGAAGTGCAATTTGGTTTGTGGTTAACACTTTATTTAACAAAATTTCAGCAAAAATTTCAGATTTTTTTATTTTTTCTGAACATTCATATTTTTTGCTTTAGAATACCTCAACTGACTTGTTAAACTTTTTATTTTCATTTGACTCTTTTTCTTCAAATTGGAATGATCAGCTATTAATTTTTCATACTTGTTTAATAATTCGTTGTATTTTGCTTCAAAATCTACTTCAGGCTTTAAATCTATATTGTCACCAGCTTGTTCAAAATTATTTCAGATTCAGTAATAGTATGTTCATGTCGATTAGATGCAATATTCAAAATATTTGAATCAACCTTTGTAATTTCTGCTACGAGTTTCTTTCTGTTTCTAACATCTAATCTACCTTCAGGAGTAGAGACAGAAGGTGTATCAAAGGTATGTTTATATAAACAGAGTGTTATAACTGCAGTTTTCTTTAAAAGGCGTTTAGTAGGTAAACCTAAAATAAGTTACGTTAAAAAATTTTATAGGCATTTTATTGCTTTTTTATTTTACCTTATAATTCATTTTGAAGATCTCTTTCATAGTCATTGTTTGTAAAATGAACAGAGCATATTCTACTAGAATCAGGATTAAAATTATCAGCTCTTCTGCATCGGTTAACCCATTCAGCCCTTATAGTTTTCGACACTAAATCCTTTCCTTTTGGAAAACTGCAAAATAACAGGCATATTCTTGGTTTTCGCACTAAAATTATTGTCACAACCATATATGGCACATCTATTACCACCCATTTTATTTATACAAGTAAATTGATATAGAAACAATAATCAAATAGTCTTATAAGACCGTTAAATCGCTAGTACAACGAAAAAATTGGCAGCAGGCACAACTATTCTATATAAAACAATAAGAAATGTCAACCACGAATCCCCACGCCTACGTCACACTCAACACAACTCATTTCTTACATTAGAGCATAGGACAAAATCAATCCTATCTGATGTTTAGGGTCCTTAGTCCGGTCAGCTGAAGGGCAGTTGCAGCGGTTCTGTTGGCTGGATTAAAATAAGCTGATTTGCATGGACCAATACAGTGAAAATAGGTTGTTTTGCACGTGAAGGTGCTTTTTATCAGGCTTTTACCATTGGAAATAATTTTTTTTGTATCAATTAAATAGAATAAACAACTTTGGCTTTAACAGAACAATGCATTGGAACCTAACTCAAGTATGATTTTTGTTTGACTTAAGGCTTTTTGCATGTTACCTCGTCAATTAATTACAGAATATGGAGTGCATATCATGGTATGGCATGGACGCATTATAGAACCTGATAGCCTTTTATTGGCTAACGAGAATAAAATAGACCCAAGACAAAAAGAGATGACACAGAAGACTACTCAGAAATGAGCGACTTTTGTGAATACACAAACAAAAATGTAGAATGAACTAGAAGAGAGGCAACTCTACGGGGTCAGAATCCAGTTTTATTCAAGATGCTAATAGAACATCCGCAACGAAACAGAAAACCTTCAATGCTCATCGAAAAATACAATATAGAGTCGCTAGCAACGCTAGAGTACAAAACTCCTTTATGAGAACAGGATTACCAGCAAACTAAAAGAGATCGAGTTGCAACCATAATGAGAGTAGAAGATACTTGGCAAAAAACCAGGAAATGCATCAACCAAGCAACAGAAACAACGAAGCAACTGAAATGAAAACCCTAAGAACAATAGTAAGCAAAACAAAAAGAGACAGGGTGAGAAATACAAACGTTAGAGAGTAGTGTAAAATTCAAGATATTGTAAGATGAAGGAAGGCAGCGTAAGAGGAGGTGGTACAATCATGTAAGACGAATGGATGAGAATAGACTCCCAAAAATTGTCCTAGAAAACATCCCGCCCGTTCAAGACCTCCTGGAAGACCACCTAAAAGCTGGAGGGATAGTTGGCAATCTACTCCCAGGAAATTAACCAGAGACAACTTCAGAATTAAGCAGATCGAAAGATTTTCAAGAAGTAGAAGAAGATACTAGTTACTAATAATGTATCTATTAAGATCTGAAGTTTCTAAATTTAATCTACACATGAAGAATCATTTTCGTCACCTACACAGTTATCAATTCTCATACCTTTTTCCTGCTTTCTTATGTACATTGAAGAATTTTCAGTTTCGACACATACAATTTCTTTTTAAATCCAACTCATATCTGATCCGCCTTTTAATAAATTAAATACCGCACTGCAAAGCAACATTCTAAATAAATTGACAGTTAGTTGTACGTGAAAACGTGTCAATGGTCGTGTTGAATCGTTAAGCCGCGTTTAAATGGAATGTATTAATAGGCGGATTTGCAGGTCGTTGAGACGTGCGTATCCCGCAAATGCACCTTTTGCACTTGAAAGTGACAGTACTATGGCAATTTCCGACAGTTTTGTAAAGTAATGAGCCAAAAGCGATTCAAATATTTTTATTCGGCCTTCCGGTTTTTGATGATTATGCTTCCGGATTTTAGTTTAAATTATTGCCGGATTTTCTTTAGCGGGCAGGTAATTTTTCTTAAAGCGGAAATGAAAATGTCGAATTTGTTCGTAGGAAATCATAAGTCATAATAATAAATATATATTCAGCTAAGGCACTATGTGTGGTAAGTTAAAAAATGTTTTATTTTTAGTAATAAATTAAAAATAGTAACAGTTGTTCCTAGTATAATTCAATGAATATAAAGTTACAACAGTTTGTTAGTTTAGTAACAAATTTTGCATAAACTTCCGCTTTGGCTTTTATCATGGCAACTTTACTTTCTTTCCTAAAAGTTAAAAGTTATGTCAATGAAATCCAAGCTTAATAGTTGTCAGATATTAGCATCAAAAATAAAAAAATTAGAAATTGTGATATTAGCAATGAACAGAATCGACCAAAAAATTTTGGATCTTATACTTTATTTATCCCAAGTTCAAGTCTTCTTCTTCGTTTTCTTTAACCTGTTTGCGTCTACCCCTGGACAAAGGCCTCTCATGAGTTCTCAAGATATCCCAAGATAACGTATCTACTGGCAAATTGTGATGGGGCAACCTATCGATGTAACAGCTATGAGATATAGCTTTAACAATAAAGTTACAATTAAGATACAAGGCAGGGAAGACTGAATGAAGGAGTACCCATACAAGCTGCTGCTACCTGGCACACTAAATGGCTCAAAAATATCGGGGGCTGTGGGAGTCGGCACAGTAGGGACAAATCAAGGGATACATTTTCCGGTAAGTCTATCTAAAGGAATGTGACAGTTTTGCAGGCGGAAACAACGGCAATCTATCACTGCGTGGAAAAAAAAAGAAAGGCAGGAAAGAACGCTCCGTTAGATGCTATCTTTACAGATAGATCAGGCAGCGCTTAAGGCACTTCATTCTGTAAAGGCAATTCTAAGCTAGCATGGGATTGTGTGTGTGCTCTAAATAAACTAGGAGACCGTAGCAAGGTTACGGTAGCCTGGATACCGGTGCACGAGGGTCATAAGGGCAATAAAAAAGTAGATAAATGGCCAGACAAAGCTCATCGATGCCATTCATTGGACCGGAACCCTGCTAGGCGTTACAATGACAATAACAAGAACGGCTACGTGGAAGTGTGTAGCTCAGAAATCTTGGAATGCTGGAGGAATTTAGCAGGACAAAGATAGGTGAAACAGTTCATTACAGAAAATTTGCCAAAATTTACAACATACCTAATAAGCAAAGATAGGAAAACAGTCAAAGCCATAGGGCACTATAAGCTGAATAGGCACTTGAAGCTGATGGAATTTTCAGATGATGTCCAGATTCTGTCACCTTGAAGAAGAAACGCAGAGTACATTCTATGTCAGTGTGACAGTCTGGCAAATATTCGGTCCTTTTTTTTAATTTAAGTTAATATATCTTCTTCTAAATCTGCCTATCTTCTAGATAGATCTAGAGATGTTGGCGACCACATTGACGCATTTATTCTATTCACGGGCAGCTCGAAAAGGATCAGTTGACGTTAGACTAGGACCATGGACGTATAAACATAGATGGACACAGCAATAAGATACCTTTAACACACAATGTTTTGAAGCTTCGATAGAATGTGATGCTTCCGCAATGAGTATAAGCGTGCTTGAATTTTTACTCGCGGGTAATTATTCAGATTTTAAAAATTGGAAGTACCTAGTAATAATGTATAAAAACACGTTCAAAGAATTAAAAAAAAAACGAGAATTTAACTATTAACAAATCACGTCTTTATAGAAAAATTAAAATACAATTTTATTATATCTTATTGAATACATTAATGAACATGAATAAACCCAATGGTACGCCTATTAAAATGTAAACAAACACGCTTTTTCATTTCCTCATCCTAAATAATGTAAATTTTATGTACTTACAAATGAAATGAAAGACCGGGATGTAAATATTTCGTTTATTTTATTTCACTTTTCACAAATATCACTCAAAATACAGCCAAAATTATCTAAAAACAATTTTTCCTTATTTCCTCAATCGTTGTAAACAAACATGGAATAGCATTTGAAGTTTGACGTAGAACCGTAAAACAGAGAAATGTAAACAACCGTTGCCATTTATAAATAGTTTTCAGTGCTTCTAAATATAAAATAATTTATTGATATCTATTATACGCTATTATTAAATGATAATGCACACTATGTGCACACTTGATATTTTGATTACAATTAGATATATTAATATAACCAATAAATTATTATTTTGGTTTGATAGCACCTGTAGAGTATAAAATACGGAGTAATATTTTCAGCGACTCGCGAATAAGAATTTTTAATAAAAAAACGTGACAACAGTTGGAGGTGCTGAGAATGTGACATATTCAAATAATTTTGACTTCACAATTTTATGTAAATAACTGAGTCCATCTGTGTTTATACGTCCATGGACTAGACCATTTCTAAAATTGGCCAGCCAGGATATACGTCTACGTCCAGGGCCTCTCTTACCTTCAATATTGCCCTGTAGAATCAACTCTAGAAGTCGGTAATTATCATTAAGCATGATGTGGCCGAAGTAAGCAATTTTCAGTTTTTTATGGTCCTGATAAATTTCTTTGTCTTTTCTTAGCCTCTGAAGAATAATTATGTTACTTGTGTGGCGTATATATGAGATCCTCAACATACGTCAGTAGCACCACATTTTAAATGTTGTCAATCGTTTTATGGCATCTTCTGTAAGGCTCCAGCTTTGTACTCCATAGAGGAGGACACTAAAGACGTAACATGTAAGAATTATTAGCTTATATTGATCTATCTATCTATCTATACAGCTCTTAACATCCATCCTTGGATATAGGCCTCCTCCTCCTTCTTCCATGCCTCTCTATCTTGGGCAATTTGCATCCATTTTGGACCTTCGTGTTTCATCTTTCTGCCTTATGGGTGTGTCCGGCGAACTTCCATTTAAGCTTTGCTACTTGGGTTGAGACATCTTTCACTTTTGTTTTATTACGGATCCATTCGTTTCTTTTTTGTCTGATAGTTTAATGTTCAGCATTTGTCTTTCCATGGATCTTTCTGTCTTTGCTATTTTTTCCATATTTTCCTTTGTAAACGTCCATGTCTGAGAGCCATATGTGAGGACAGGGAGTATACATTGATTGAAGACTCTCGTTTTTAGGTATTGGGGGTATTTTGAATTCTTTAGAATATAAGACAGTTTTCCGAATGATGCCCAGGCCAATCTTATTCTTCTCTTTATTTCTTCGGTCTGATTTTCTTTATTTAATTTAGTGATTTGGCCTAGATATATATACTCTTTTACTTGTTCTATTTTTGTTTGTGCCACTGTAATTATAAGTTCTTCTGGTTGATTAGTCATGGTTTTTGTTTTACTATAATTCATCTTGAGTCCAATTTTTGTCGATTCTCTATCTAGTTCTTCCATCATTCTTTGTAATTCTTCACTTTTTTCTGTTATTAATACAATATCATCAGCATATCGTAAATGATTCAGATTTTGCCGTTTATATTAATTCCAAGTCATCCCAGTGTAGTCGTTTAAAAACATCTTCTAGCGCTTGGTTAAATAACTTGGGCGAGATGGTATCTCTTGTCTTACTCCTCGGTTTATTTTAATAGGCTCCGTTTGTTTCATTAGCTTAATAGTTGTTGTTGCCTTGTTGTATATATTTGTAATTAAGTCGGTATATCGGTAGTCTATTCTGCTGTTTTGTAGGGAATTCTGTACTGCCAGTGTTCACACTATCAAATGCCTTCTCAAAGTCAATAAATGCCATGTATAGCGGGATATGATATTCGTTAGTTTTTTCGATTAAAATCTTCATCGTTAAAAGGTGGTCACTTGTACTGAAGCTCTTTCTAAATCGGCTTGTTCTCTTGCTGGTATCCATCTAATTTAGTTGTTAATCTATTTGTTAATATTTTGGTTAATAGTTTGTACATCACATTTAATAAAGTTATGGGTCTGTAATTCTTTAGATCTTTTTATTCTTTTTAAATAGTAACAGTGTTATTGCTTCGTTCCAACTGTTGGGTATTTGTTTTGTCATTAAAATTTTATTCATAAGTATGTACAAAACTTCTCTAGTTGTTTTCCACCATGTTTTAGCATTTCTACAGTCACCCCGTCTTTTCCTGGCGATTTATTGTTCTTCATCTCTTTGAGTGCTCTTCTTATCTCGTTCTTACTGATCTCTGGTTGTAAGTCGGAATTAACATTTTTTATTTTTATTTGTAGTTGCTTAAGGATTTCTTGGGTTGGTTTTGTTTTGTATTGTAGAGGTTTTTATAATATTTTGTGTTATCTGTATAATTTCTTCTACATTATTGGTCTCTGTACCTTCTTTGTTCTTTATACTATTAATTTGTATGGTTCAAGCTGTGGTTTTAAGCACTTCATGTTTTTATTTTGTTCAATTGCTTTTTCTATTTTTTCTTCCTGTACTTCCTTTTATAATCTTGATATTCCTTCTGATAGCTTTGTTTACCTCTTTGTAATCTACTGTGTTTCTTTATCTTGTTCCAGTAATGTTTTTCTTTTACTCATGAGATTTTTTGTTTCTGGGATACATAGTTTTCCTTTTTTATTCTTGTTTGTGCTACTCTTTTCCGCCTTTGCTAATGTATCGGTTAATAGCTGATTTATTTCATCGATATTTTTGTTTTCCAAATCTCTAGTGACGGTATACTTTCCTTATTTTTGTTTATATTCGTCTTTTGATTGCTTAAGTTTTTCCATATCTAGTTTCGATACATTTTCTATTTTCTTTTTTGTTTCGAATTGGCTATTAATCTGAGTTTGGCTCTGACAAGTCTATGATCGCTACCGGTTGAGAAGCGGTTCAGTACTGTAACATCTTTGATGATGGTTTTTTCTGTTGTAAGGATGTAATCTATTTCGTTTTTTGTATTACCGTTGGGACTTATCCATGTCCATTTTCTTTGTGGTTTTTTGTTAAAAAACGAGTTCATAGCAAAAAGTTGTCTCTCCTCCAAGTAGTTCATTAATGTGTGTCCTCTATTATTTCTTTCGCCATATCCATACTTTCCAATTCTAGTGTTCTTCTCCATCTATTCTTCCCCTAATTTGGCATTGAAGTCTCCAATTATTAGCGTCAATTTAGTTTTCTTTTCTTCCATAGCGAGTGTTAGTTCTTCGTAGAAGTTTTCAATATCTTCATCTGTATATGAACTTGTTGGCGCGTATACCTGTATAATTTTCAAAGACGTTCTTTTTAATTTAAGCATAATGTAGGCTACTCTGTCTGATATACCTTGGTGGATTGTATGTATCTGACGACTTTCTTGTTTATTATAAAACCAACTCCGTTGTTAGAGTTATCTTCATTGCCTTTGTAGTACAGCATGTTTCTTGAGTTTAATAGTATTTTTTGTTCACCTTTTCTTCTTATCTTGACAGACCAATGACATCCATTGTATATTATTTAGTTCTTCTTCTAATTCGTGAAGTTTAGTATCATAATTCATGGTCTAATGTTATATGTTCCTATGTTTTGTTAATAAACGATAAGTTACAGAGAATCTTCTAAGGGCTGTTGAAAGAGCTTCTGACTTTTTCAATACGAGTTTTTATTTCAAAGCTGTGATCCCAAGTATACTGAGCAGCTCAAATAGTATATTTTTTCCACTCTTTCTAATGGTGTATCGTTATTTGTAATTTGGGCGCGTTGATGCCGGTGTTCTTACTAATTATCATTATTTTTGTCTTCTTGAAGTTTAGTTTTAGGCCGTATACTTGCTTAAACAATATTATCCATCATCCTTTGGATCCTTATCCTTTTGGATAATATTGTTTATAAGTTGGTTATTTAGCCAAGTCTTCTTGGATGTAATTTAAAAAGCTTATTCGTTACAACCATGTCCATCTCTTCTTCTTACGGTGCCTTATCCTTAAGGACGTTGGCCATTACATTTGCCCATTTAATCTTATTTGTAGCAGCCCTGAATAGTTCTATGGAGGTCATGTTCGTCCATTGCCGTAGGTTTTTAAGCCAAGAGTTGCGTCTTCTTCCTGGTCCTCTTTTGCTATTGACTTTGCCTTCGATTATAAGTTGGAGCAGTTCATACTTTTGATTTCTTATGATGTGACCAAAATATTGTGTTTTCCGTTCTTTTATTATAAGCATAAGCTCTCTTTCCTTATTCATCCTCCGCAAGACTTCCGCATTTGTCGTATGGCTCATGTAGGATATTCTGAGCATTTTACGGTAACACCAGGAGTTCGAATGCTTGGATTCTTTTTTGTGTTGCTCCATCTCTTGGCAGAGTTAATAATTATTCAAATAGGTAATACCCATAATCATTCCCCACAAGTACTTATGTGTGATAAATAACTTAAATCAACAATTTAACTTATTTATCACAAAGGATCGATTTTTGTCGAAACTTTATGATGTTGAAAAGTGAACGAAAGTGAACATTTCTTTTTATTTTTGTTTTAGGAAGAGCGTATAGTGGCATGTACGCAATGTACTGTATTCTAGTTCTTTTGACCACAGTGGTTGCAGCATATGGTTGTTTAACAGAAATATTAGATCATGGCTTGTCTCTTAAGGAAGCTGGTCTGTTTCTGATCTCATTTTACTGCATGTCTTTGTTATTTATTATATGCAATGCAGCGCACCAGACATCACATAAAATGGGTCCTGAATTTAGAGAGAGATTATTAAACGTGAATTTAGGTAAGATCGTATTATATAAATCTGTAAAGGTACGCTAATAGTTGGGAGTAAAGAGTAAAGGTCGTGGCTTATTATCATGCACGTTGCGTTTCCAGCCCGTAGCGTTTAGTTTCCGAAAAATATAATTTAAATGGTTTTAAATATAAACAATTAACACTGCTCGGAACGTAACGTATCAGACACCTAACGTTTCCGTTCAATATATTCGAAATAGTACATTGTTTACCGGGTAGCAAAAGCTTAACATTCCTGGACGACTGTGAAGATTGCTAAGTCGAGGCGCTAGCCGAGACTTAGCAACACAGAGTCCAGGAATGTGGCTTTTCCTACGAGGTAAACATACTATTTTTCCGCAAATCGTTTTAAAATTCGACAGATATTGATTGATTAAAAAAAAACGCGATAATTTTATTCCCAAATAAATGGTGCTTTGAAATTCCTAATAAAATTACTTGGGTTACTATGGAAACGTATTGAGTTTGAATTGTCAAATTTGACGCTTATAAATTTAATTGCTGGTATTCTCGAAAGTAAAATGATAAGTGATGATGTTCCGTACTAACAACTGTACGGAAATATCATTTCCTTACAGTAAGGAAATGACATTTACTTATAGTAAGGAAGTCCTGACTTTTTCTTCAAGAAATTTTGACAGGAATGTCAAAATTTACTGGCGATTTGCAGAAAACAATATTTTATGAATGCCGACGGCTACGGAACGAGTCGAAACCTGTTGGTACGGATAATGTGAATTAGGGGTCCGTCGTTTTCTCATCAGTGTTTATTTAGGTATTTGTTTGAATTTGATACAGATATTTAAAAAAATAATTTTCGAGGCTATTTTGTCATTTATACATGTGTTTTCATTGCTTTGTGACAATTAATCACGGAAGCGATAAACAATTAGGACTTTTGCACGGAAGTGATACCTCTTCTTTTTTTTTAAATACTCTTTGGTTTGATATGTAGTATTTTGTTTTATAACTAAAGGTGTAAGTAAATTTAAAATATTTTAAACTGAATCCTATTCATTCTAAAATATCCATAATATTTTTCATCGTCATCAATTAATTCTTTGTATAAAGTCCAGTATTCACCTTCCTTTTTCCTTTCTCTTAGCATTGGATGTACTTCAAACCTTCTTTTTACTACAGTTTTTCTTTCTTCATCGTTAAGTAGAAGAGCAATTGCACATAATTTTTGTCGCGAAAAGTGAGATCACATCTTTACCGAACCAAACTGAAACGTTCTATATATGAAAATGTGAACGTGCAGTCCGATTGCTGGACTGGAAACGCTACGTGCCGGAAACTATACGTTCATGATAATATGCCGCGACCTCAAGTAAAATTGGAATACAACGCCAGTATAGAAGCTTTGCTTTAAAAATTATAACATGCTGATAAGAAGAAAATTGTTATTAAAGATCTTGTTCTTTTCATTCTAAGTCTTAAACAATGTAATCAGAATTGTTAAACTTTTAACAGGTGCTGTGGACCGAAGAACTCGCCAAGAAGTAAATATGTTTCTTACAGCTATTGACAAGAATCCTCCAATAATGAATCTAAATGGTTATGCAAATATTAACAGGAGACTCATATCATCGGTTAGTACAAATATATTTAAATAATTATCATGTCGTGCATGAATGTATGAATGGTATGTTAATATAAAACATTATTACTATAAATCATAAATACAACATTATCAAGAAATACAAATTTTTTTAAATACCAATTTTTTATGCGTAGATGGTATATTGTTAGAGTTAAACACAAAGTTTCAGCACGTCGGCTTATTTAACTCGATGATGTTTGACGTGAAAATTTTAACAATCTACCCACATGTGGTAAACCCACTTAATTATATACCGAAATCTTTTAACTGAATGTTTTTTACATACATACATTTTTTTAAACAATTAAAGCATCTCCAACGTTATGTCTTCGATTGGAAAGTGTTGGTGGTCGTTTGGTGTCCATGATACGTCTCCACGAGGCGTAACCTTGTTGATCTTAGGACATAAGAATACTTTACTTCAAGAATCTCATATCTTTTTGACTTAGCATTTACTTTGTTGTGTGTGTATTTTTTTGTACAAAAATACAATTAGTTGATATGAGGAAATGAAAAAATATTAATCAAAATTGAGCATATTATTCACGTGTATGTTCCAAACATAGACATTCTTCTCCACCTCGACAAATGTATTTAAAGTGAGCTATCCGTTGCTATCAACTCGTAGACACACGAGTGCAACTCCTCGTAGACACTTTGTCTCAGGACTAGCAACCTCCAGTGGAGTCTTACGTTGCCATGTTATCTATTCCTGTTGTAACTTAAACATCCTAGTATATAAAATCAAATAATGTAACTCAAATTTAATTTAACAACATTTAAAGGGTTTTTACCCATGTATTTGGAAAACATGTACGGGTGGTCCATACGCTGCATACAAAACATTGTACTTTGGGAGTGTAAAAGTGGCCAAGAGAAGTGGAAATAACTTTAGTTCGGTTAACCGTAAGGGGCGTAACCTGTGAAGAAAACTTTGAAAACCATTTTTTTGGGAAATATGTCCAATTATACCAAGTGTTAAATAAGTAAAATAGAAAGAAGGCCTAAATTCTGCACAAGTTGTTCAAGTACTTTTTTTTATTTTTTCAAATAAAGGGTGGGGGAGAGTGGGAAAGTATTTGTGGATAAATACCTATAACTTTGGTTTGGATCAACTGATTTTAACGAAATTAGTGTCATTAGAAAGAGTGTGGATAAATTAATTTACATCTACTATAAAATAATTGCATTTAGTTTTAATTGTCATAGGTAGAGGGTACTTTCGAATAGAAAAATTAAAATTTGTTTTTCTTCAAAATGTTTAATGGAAACACCTACCTATTGTGAATTATAATGGAACTGGATTAAATTCGTTACAAAATGGCGCAAACTGTATGTTATTAGCTTTTGTCGAACTCGAGATATGAATAAAAACACATAAACATAAGTAAGTATAGTATTGACTCACCCTGTATTATAAATTAAATTAAAAAATAAGTCAGTAGGTATGTTCAAATTTTTTTATACCAGAAGAATCTTAATGTTGATACCTATTTTGACAATTATTATTTCATATGATTAAAAATAGTTTTTTTGAAACTAAGTAGGCTACGACAATGAATTTGACGAGGAGTTCATATTGTTTATTTATTGACAGCAGTCAAAACATTTTTAAGAAGTGTTTATTATAATTTGAATTGAAGATTGCACTTTTTTCAATAGATATTAATATTGGTAATATTAGTAATTAATTATCAGTACTAATAATTCGTGATGAGTATATTAAATGCAGAATTGTATGATATGATTGGAGTTTATTTCGAATGTCACCAAAATGCCGCTATTGTCTCACGTATATATTCTGTAAGATATCCTGACAGGAGACATTATATCAAAGAAGTATTTGAAAGAAAGGCAAGAAGATTAAGAGAAACTGGTAGTTTTCATCGTCCTTGTTTTAAAAGACGTAGTAGAGGTATGACCGAAGATAATTCAATCAATGTTCTTGCTTTAGTTCAACAGAATCCACATATAAGTAGTTGGCAAATCTCTATAGAATTAAACATACCCAAAACTACTGTTCTAAGGATTTTAAAACATCACAGGTTGGTTTTTCATATTATAAAGTGAACGTTTAGGTCAGAAACTTGGAATTCCTTTAAACTTAAGATTCAACTGTAATTTTAATATTCGATAAAAACGGCAACACGGCGCTTTTATCCTTTTATCCGTTTCTTAAAAATACTTATGCACGATTTATCTTGTGAAACAATTGTGGATTTTTCAAGATTTTTGAGTTTAGTAAATATAGTGGTTTCTTTTTCATCAATATTTGTTGTTCTGTTTTTTAGACTGCATTCTTATCATGTAGTTCTCCACTAAGCTTTACATGAGAGAGATTTTGATGCAAGGCTGGATTACTGCAATTGGATGTTACATCTGCTAGAAGAACAACCGCATATCATGTCAAAGATTTTGCGGACAGACGAGGCTACGTTTAATAGTGCGGGTGGTGTTAATCTGCATAATATGTATTATTGGGCTGAAGAAAATCCGCACTAGATACATGGGGTGCAGGTTTAAGGTAGATGAAGTCTTAATGTTTGGTGTGGTATAGTTGATGGAAAGATCGTAGGTCCATATTTCTTTGATAGAACTTTAAATGGCGAAACATATTTGGATTTTCTGGAAAATCAGTTGCCTGTTTTATTGGAAGATATTTTCTTACAAACAAAAAGAGATATGATATTACAACATGACGGGTGTCCTGCGCACTTTTCCAGACGAGTTCGAGATTATTTGTATGCAAGTTATCCAAATAAATGGATTGGAAGGGGAAGTATATTTGCATGGCCAGCTAAGATAAGATTCAAGGACTTAGTGTACCAAACTCGACCAACCACGCGAGACGACATGAAACAGCGCATTATAAACGCAATAAATAGTATATTAACAGCTGAGATTGAGGCAGCTGTTAGGTCTACGCGCGAAAGATTACATCTTTGTGTGTACAACAATGGAAAACAATTTAAACATTTAATTGGACATTAAGTTTTATTGATCGAGATATTTGTATGACCTTTCACATATTTAATTTTAAGTTATAATAAAGGGTGAGTTAATACTATACTTACTTATGTTTATGCGTTTTTATTCATATCTCGAGTTCGACAAAAGCTATCAACATGCGGTTTGCGCCATTTTGTTACAAATTCAATCCAGTTCCATTATAATTTACCATAAATAGGTGTTTACATTAAACATTTTAAAGAAAAACAAATTTTAATTTTTTCTGTTCGAAAGTACCCCTACCCATGACAATTAAAACTAAATGCAGTAGTTATAGTTATAGTAGATGTAAATTAAATTATCCACACTCTTTCTAATGACACTATTTCGTTAAAATCGGTTGATCTAAAACCAAAGTTTATCCACAAATAGGTATTTATCCACAAATACTTTCCCACTCTCCACACCCTTTATTTGAAAAAATAAAAAAGTTATTTCCAGCGATTTCTCTTGGCCACTTTTACTAAGGAATTTTTTCTCTTAAAGTTATAACATGAATAGTTTCTGATATATAGCCGAGAGATCGGCTTATTGGACCACCCGGTACATCCAGATAGCACTGATGATGGAATATTAATTCCAAAAACGTTCTGTGATGTAGCCCGATAGGTTGTTTTAATATATACTTTTAATAAATGAATGTTTTAAATAAATTTTTTGTGATACATGGTATACAGCGAGCTACAAAAAAATGCGGATTATAAATATTATTTCTTGTTGGTGAGCATTTATCAATTTATTTAGACCACAATATTGCGACAAAATGTATTAATTTCGTTATTATTCCATTATTATTTTCAGATTGGCTGATTTAACTTTTGCATAACTATATCGCTGGCAATACAGCATTTACTCTCCCTTATACCTTTTGAGAAAATACAAAATTATAGTAAATTTTACATGACAAACAAAAAAGCTGAAGTTAATATTTTTATTTCTAGTACTTCTAGTAATAAATTGTTTCGAACTGTTGTATTTTTTCGGATTGTCCTGACTCTAGTAAGATGCTCAGCTCTTAAAATAAGCCATAGCTAATATACCACTTATCGCAAGAAACGTTTCTGTTTTAACCAGGATATGGACTCATTAATCTTCCGACCATAGCATTTGATCACTTATACGACAAACTGTTCATCAAGCTGTCCCAATCAAATTATGTAGACCCCATGTTTACTATCAGGTTTGCACACTGGTCCAATTTGATAATATTCCCTTAATAAGCGCAGTAAAATCTCAAGGTTGAAACAAGCCACCCAATGGATATGCATCTTTGTTGGAATATTGCCCCTAACAGAAATTGAATGCTACAGCAATATTACATGTTAATTATGTATAAGTTTTATGTATCTATACATTAGAAAATTGTCTTTTAGAATTGCGTTTGTCACTAATATTGTTTAGCTTTTATATTAATTTTTGTTTTAGGCTACTACCTCGATGGCAACCTATTTAGTTATGCTTATGCAGTTTCGTTTATCTTTGATGAGAAATGCTGCTATAGCAGCCAGAAAAGCGGCTATGTTAAACGCAACTCTAGAAAATGCGTCACACTAAATAAAAATTTCTACTCACAATATAGTACCTATTATAAGGTAAAAGTCACACACTTTTTTTAATTTTCTTTATTGATGCTTGCGAATAAATATTTTAACAGAAATTGTATTGCGTTTTTTTTACAATCCATAATCACATGAGTTACTTCACCATAATTTACAACATTTCTCGCTAGTTTATCAACATAGATATTTCTTGTTATTATTTTATTGTCGCAGTAGCTCTGGCAGCACCGTTTTTAAAAAAAACTTTATTATTTTGAAAGAATGAACACGAAATTATGCGCCTGATTTTTTAGAAAGATATTTCTACGATAGGTAGATCTTTCGATGTAATTAAATCGTATCTAGCTTGCCACTAACCCGTAAAACCCTTTTCAACTTTTAAAACAAATGAGAATTTGGTAGAAAAGAACACAAAAATACTAGTATATAGTACAGGTATTTGGGTGAATAAAAGGTTTAAGATGTATAATAAAAGCAAGAGTTGTACAAATACCTGTTCTTTATTTAATTAAAATTTGGATCAATGAGAGTAATTAAACCTATGCTTTCTCATATTGATATTTAGTTAGTGGCATACCTGGAGTTCCCTAAGAAGTTTCGAAGCACTCTCTCATTTTTTTAACATGTATTCGTCGTTTTTCTCTTTTTCGAACAATTCAACATTCAGTTCCGTAAATCATAGTTAATTCAGGGATCTTAGACACTATTTCTATCTTCAATCTTTTCCATCCCAATCTAACTCTAACTTGCTTATGTCTTTATTTGTCCATTTCTTTATAAATAAAACATACTCCATCTAATTATTTTTGAATTGCATTTTCCTTCTTTTAACAACTGTATTCATTCTTTTTAAACCAGTAAGCCATTTTTGTCGGGTATATACTACAGGGATTAAACAATGATTGTCTCCAAAACATCCATCCATCCACCCATAGCTTTAAACGTGAATGGTAGCATTATCGAAAATGTCGAGAAATTTCGATATCGAGGGTGCTGGATAACGAAAGATATAGATCCAGATATAGAAATAAAATCGCGAATTGAACAAGCAAGAAATGTCTTTTTAAAAATGAAACAAATGTTTACGTCCCAAAATACTCAATCTCAAAATCCGATACCGAATGCTGAAATGTTACGTTTACAGCACCTTACTATATGGAATGGAGGCCTGGACCTTCAAAATCAACTCACTCAGGCGTTTGGAAAGTTTTGAAATGTGGTTATTTCGAAGGATGCTGAAAGTCCCCTGGACAGCGCATATGAGCAACGAGCAGGTCCTACACAAGATGGGTACCGACAGAGAACTCTTAAAAATAATGAAAACACGGAAAACCTCATATTTGGGACACATATACAGAAATGAGAAATACCAGCTACTGCAGCTTCTTATAGAGGGGAAGGTAGAAGGAAAACGTGGTCCTGGTAGACGGCAGGCGTCCTGGTTGAAGAACATTCGTGAGTGGACTGGTTTGGATTCTCAATCTTTAATAAGAAAAGCCAGGGACAGAAATGATTTTGCTGAGGTTATCGCTAACCTTCATTGAAGACGGCACCCAAAGAAGAAGAAGATATACTACAGGTTTCTGTTTGATGCACTATTTTCCTACAAAAATCTTCCTGCACAGAGTCTGTTTTCTGTTCAATTATAACTCATAGGTTTTATACAGAATAAATTATATCTACGGTTATTAAAAACGTAACGTACAATGTCTTAATCAATACTTGATTGTATGTTTTATTATGATGCAACCAAAACCATCCAATGAAAAAAACAAACCCGGCCCTCGATTGTTACCAGTTTCAAACATTAGATTAAAGCTGTAAAGAAAATTAAATAAAAATATAATCATATTCAATATCAATTCAAAAAGGATCCAAGTTGCAAATCTTTACAACTGAAATATTACAAAAAACACTTTGTAAAAATATCCAAAATTGGAATATACTGGTAAGTATGTAAGTAGCAAAACAATTATTCCAATTGTGAAAATTAGCTACTTAAGCTCCATAATGAAAAGTTACTAAAACAAAATAAAAATCATCTTATAATCAGAGAACGGAAATAAAAATTTTAGATTGAAAATCGGACAAGCTTGATGAGGTATCATATTAGGGTTTGCTTTGTAAACTAAATAATATTTAAGCATGTTCTAACAAAAATGCATACTGACCTAACCAAGTACTGCATAAAAAGGTCTGCAAAATGAGGTAGATTAAGAGGAAGTTGAGAAGTTATAAAGGAATAAAGAATAAAATCGAATGAAGAAAAATCTACTAGATGTAACCTTTATAGTTTATATATATATATATATATATATATATATATATATATATATATATATATATATATATATATATATTTATATATATATATATATATATATATATATATATTTATATATATATATATATATATATATATATATATATATATATATATATATATATATATCGTACATCTAGTTCAATACTGCCACAACTCCAAAAATTCCAATTTTGAGTTAAGGCTTTAAAAAGGTTGCATATATGATACCCCATCTAATGCAATACAACCTTAACTGAAATATTGTCTTGGATAAGTATAAAGTAAGATATTTCGGTATTACACTGTAGGGTTTTGAAATGCAATATGGCCATAACTAGGAGATGTGGCGATAATACACTCCGCCACAATACAACCGATGTAATTCAATACGGCCACAACTGCAAAAATTGTTAGATTAGTGGTACGATTTTATCAGTTCTCAATTATTTATGCACGAGGTATCCACGTTTTTAGTGTACAACTATTTGATTTAAAGTCTGAAAACAGTGTATAGTGATATTATTATTAACTTTATTATCAAACACGATGTCAAGGGCAAGAAAAATGCTTGGACTAGCTTTGCAAAGCTATCTTAAAGATGATGAGAATCTGAGAGACAATTCAGAGGTTTCTGAGGTTATGAATGACATCTCCTTTGTGTTGACGGAGGTTTGTATTTCAACAAAAATCACAGTGAGGTTTTACTTAATGTATGTAATTTTTTAGCTTACTCCGGTTGCGTTACCCGTGCAATCAAATCATACCGCAAATACATTTGAAGATCAAGAAAATCTACATACAGACCCTCGCCAAGATGATTACATAGAGCAGGTATATTTTTATGAAACGAGAAACGGTTACTGGACCGGTGAAAAATAAAATAAGAGAACACATAAATTCTTTCCAAAGGGTAGAATCACATTATCTTAGAGCACAAACTACAAAGGAATACATAGATGGTTCACTTACTTTAGCTCAAATGTATCGCTACTACAAACTACAGGAAGAGAGTGAAGGAAGGCCTGTGGCTAAAAAATGCACTTACGAGCATATTTTCAAAACTGAGTTTAACATAACTTTCTTTCAGCCAAAAAAAGATCAGTGCGCAATTTGTGAATCATATAAAAATTCTTCTGCTGAACAGCAAGCTACTCTTCATCAAACTTATAATAAACATATCCATAATAAAATTAGAAGCAGAGAAGAAAAAGCACAAGATCTAGCAAGAGCAAAAGATGATTCTCAAGTATTGGTAGCTTGTTTTGATTTGCAGGCGATCCTTCCTACACCTTGTGGAGATGTTTCAAGCTTCTACTATAAATGCCGCCTGAACTGCTTCAACTTTACAATTTTTCAGATATTGCAAAAGACTGGTTACTGTTACTTTTGGCACGAGGCTATTGCTAACCGCGGCTCAAACGAAATAGCTACGTGTCTGTTTGATTATCTTTCAAATCATTGTAATGATAAAGACGTTATATTTTATAGCGACAATTGTGTTGGGCAAAATAAAAATAAATTTATAGTTACCATGTATCTCTATGCAATTGGAAAAATTAATGTTAAATCAATCACACATAAATTTTTAACAGTGGGACATACCCAAAATGAAGGGGACGCCATGCACGCAACTATTGAGAGGCAAAAGAAGAAAATACTTAAAACAGGTCCCATTTATGTTCCTGCACAATGGCCTGTCATCATAAGATCTGCAAAAAAAGAGGGAAATCCTTACAATGTAAAAGAAATGTCAACAGAAGACTTTTATGACTTTAAAGATCTCAATTCAAAAATTGGAGGAAATTTTACAAAGAATACAAAAGATGAAAAGGTAGTCTGGAATGATATCCAAGTTATTAAAGTTGTCAAAAGCAATCCTGGATCTTTCTTCTATAAAACAGATTATAATGCCGATGAGTTCGAAGAGGTCCATTTTAAAGCATCGACAAGGGGGCGTTCAGCAACTGTGGAAGCAGTAATCGATTTAAAAAAGGCGTACATAAAGCCTCCATCGATATCCGCAAAAACCAAGCAACACCTTTTGGAACTGTGCAATAAAAACTTAATATTACCTGTTCATCACAATTTTTATAAGGACTTGGTTAATAGTAATTAAAAAAAATGTTCATACACACTTGTAATAATAATAATAAAAATATTTTTTGTAAGAACTAGTTGATTTTTTTTATTATGTTGCCGCCGTATCTCCTATTTATCGTTTTATAAATGACTTTCTTCACAATGCAATATCGCCATAACTATCAAAATACAATTAACGTTTTATTTTTAATAAATTGTAATAAGATCCAGCGAATAACTGTATAATTTGCTAACTAAATTGTAATTTTGAAGCCAGTCATTCTAAAAATAAATTATTTATAAGGCATAACTCGTTTGCTACAGAACGTTTTGCTCATTTCTCGAAATTATTGTATTTTGGACTTGTGGCACTATTGAACTAGGTGTGCGATATATATATATATATTATATATATATATATATATATATATATATTACGGGATCCAACTTGTAAATACAATACATTTTGGAAACGACGGCTGGTCCAAGGCATGCTCCTCCTCCAAACGTATCCTATCGATTCCATTGCTCTTCTAATTCCTTCATTTCATGAGCGTCGAGCTCTACCTCTTTTTCTTCTTCAGGGGGCTTCCATCTGTGAAATTTTTGGG